GGGTGGTGGTTGTGTTGGTACCGGGGGCAAAGGAGAGGAGGTGGGGAGTGGTAGGTCTGTCGGTCGGGGAGGGGGTGGGTGAAGTTGTGATGGGGAAGCCCCTGCTGGAGATATTGGAGGAGACAGGACAGGGTGTTGCACATCCGTGTCGAGTCGTGGAGGGGGCTGTTGTGCAGGGCCGAGGAGGGGGAGCAGTGGGTGACCCGGTACTGGGCGATGGGCAACCGAAAGCAGTTTCCACTGCCACCAGCGCTCGTTCTGCCACCACGGCTTCCACAACATATGTTGCACTGTGTCGAGCTCCCCCAATTTCTTCTCCGGATCCAGCCACAGTTGTTCGAAGAGGGTTATTTGTTCTTCTTTGTGGAGACGGTTCGTCGTTTAAGCCAGGTTGTCTTTTAGTTGGGTCCAGGCGCTGTGGATGGCAGCCCGAATAGTATCAATAATGTGTGCTTTGGCTTGCTGGTATCCGAACAGATGCTCTTTTCGCTCGTGGGAACATCTAGCTCGCCAGGTTGTCATCAATATTTCCAGCCTGGTGAGCGAAAAGAGGTTCGCCTGGAATGGAGTCCATGATCGTGCCTTATCGGGCAGCTGGCCCAGGAGTATCACTGTCGGTTCCCATGGGAAGTCCTGCCCTGTGAGATATAGCCATGCCTCACTCCACGACTGCCATATCTGCTTTGCCATTGGACAGAAGAGGAGGCAGTGTTCCAGATCTACAATTTGTTTCGGCGAGGAATTACCGCAGTACGTGCAGATGGGTGACAACAACCCTTTTTGCTCCAGTTGTGAGCGGGACACCACCCAGTCCGGCGTTGGCAGGCATCTGTATAGGATCTGCCATTGCAGCGCCCTGTGGGATGTGGGCAACAGTCTTGCATAGCGGGACGAGGTGATCTGTTGGATGTCCTGGTCCGTGAGTGTAGAGTCCCTTTTCCAATGTTGTTTGACTATATCTGTGGTGCCCGTTGTCCTATGTATTTTTTTATAGCAGTCTTTAACTGTGAATTTCCAGATAGGGAGCGGTTTATCACCCTCCCAGTGTCATTCTGTCGGGTCGAAGGGAAGCTGGGAGAGGGGAATTGTTGATTCATACCCATACCAGTCGTCCTTGTCATCTACCAGCACCCTCACCCTGATGAGGGCGGTGCAGGGTTGTTGGGTATCCAGATCTTCATTCGTTTTTAGAAGGGTCAGGTGGGCCTCCGGGAGTTTTGGTTCATAGGCCTCTAGCTCCGCGTAATCCATCGTGCAATTACCGACCTTGTATATGACCATCGAGAGGGGGAGGGTTGTCACAGGCACGACCCAGTCTGCTTTTATGGTCCGCGGGCCTTGTTTAAGGGCCCAGAGCCAGACAATCGGAACAGCTTCCTGAAGGGTACTGAGTTTGTCCTCCAAGTTCTTGATATTTCTCAGCATCGGTCGAAGCTGGGAAACACTTTTCCACTTGCCTGCAGGTATATCCCATAGGTCTCCCAGGGTGAAAATCTCTTTTTTCACCCAGGACAGCTAGTGAGACCCTTGCTTAATGGAGAAGGGTTTCCCTTGGGAATCCACAATGTGAGGAATTTCAAACGACGGTTGCCTCCAGACCTCGTGCCATCTCGGTGGAGGCGGGGACTTTACAGGTCCTATATCCCTCCACAGGGCCACCAAGGAGGTCCTCATAGGGTCATTGGCAAGATCTACTTTGGCGGCCTTGTCGTGGTTGCCCCCCGCATCTGTCCTGGGGGGTGTAGGTATAGACCAGGCCGGATTTGTGAGCTAGGCCAGTGGGTGGACTGGCTTATCGTGCGGTGATGTTGGCGCTTAGCAGGTCAGTTGAATTTGGGTCAGGGGAGCCCATGGAATATCATCGACCATTAGCAACCTGACTATTACCTTGAACAACAGGGATTCGATCTGGTCTCCAGGATCTTTAATTGTCAGGTCACCTTTGACTCTTGGTTGGGCCACTTGGGCCCAGGCCATGCGTTTAATGCAAGATCTTAGCTCGTGGTCGTTCCTCTATAGGTATGCTGCTATCGCTGTCCTGAGGTGAGTTAGTTGACGTGGAAGCAAGGTCCAAAATGCTGTCTTGTACCAGATGGTTGACATGATTGCGTTGTTGATGGCAAGGGCTCTGCCGACTATGGAGGTGTGCAGGCCTTTCCACTTAGCCATTGGGTCCGGGCCTTATTCTGTATATGCGAGTCTTAGTATGACTTAGGGACATTGAAATTGTCTGTGCTTTTGTGTTTTGAGTTTCCTGATTTTTTGAGTTTTCATTGTTGACTACGACCCGGGCATGAACCTGGCCGAAGTGCCCAGATCATGCCATAACCGTCGGCCTTTTTTTTTTTTTTTTTTTATTATAAAAAGGGGCAACCAGTTCCGGTATGATCCTGGCACACTGGCCAGGTTCATACCGAGGTCTCCTTTTTCTTATACAGACTGTAAAACGGGTCTGGCATCCCTCACATTAAAACAAAACGTTTATGGCCAAGAATCCCGACCATGATCAAGATCATACAAACACCAAACCTACCCTACTAAACCCAACAACAAAGCCAAAATGCAATCATCAGCGATTACCCCCCCCCGCAGAACCGCCCTGCCACCCACACTGCAGGGGGTCGTATCCAGACCCTGCGAAACCCACCCACCTCCTCGCGACTCAGGGCAGATTGCACCTCCACACGCACTCTCCATTACCAAAGGCACCAACTCCCACCATGATGGTGCTATTGCAAACCAGTAGATGTGCCCTACCACCTGCGCGGGAACAGTTGGCCTCTGTGAGGGACGCCGGACCTGTTTCTGGTTTTATAAGGATTAAGGGTCTCGTTAGACACTCCTAAAAGAATCCTAAATTTTTTAGGACGAGTCCTGAAGGTTTTTTAGGATTTCGTGCGGCGTCGTTACACGAAGTCCTAAAAATCATCTTTTAGGATTCGTCCTAAAAGGTCTTCCGCGGCCCGTTCTCATATTCGTATACGCAGCCGAGTCGCCGATGTCCGCCAGGTCCTGGTTGGTGTCCATGGTACACACTGTGGAGGCCTTGGGCGGGTGAGGAGGGGTGGGTGAAAAGCGCGGTCACCCCGAACTTCAAAAATTCAAATTCGAATTCTCGCGGACGCAAGGCTGCAGGGGCGGAGGACGGCCAGGCGAAGCGTGTGACGTACAGAAGACGGCGCTGGTGAACCATTCGGCCCGGGTATCCATCTTCCGACTCCACGCAAGTTGTCACCGGCGGGGGCAACTTCTGGCAAGGCGCATCTTCACCTTCGCCGTGTGTGCTATCCTGTGCAAGCGTAGAGAAGCGGGCGCGTCGTCGACTCCGGCGTACGCCATCTCCTGTTGCAGCGTACGGCAGCAGGCGCATCTACGGGTCCGACGTGCGTGGTCTCTCTTCACTTGGTTCAGCAGCGGGCGTGTCTTCGGCGGCTGTGGCAGGCGTCACGGTGTGGGGGCAGAACGATTCCCAGAGATGGACGTTCGCGGCAGCGGGCACGGTCTGCGCGAAGAGGAGATCAACGCGGTGGCAATGGCGGTTACTGCCGTCGTCGTGAACACAATGGGCGGCATGTCGTCGTCCTCAAGCGACATGCTGACTCAGCTCCGAAAACGAAGAGCGTTGTTGCAGCGCATTGCCGAAGCGCCGGATTGCGTGGCCACGTGTAAGGCAGTCGTTCAGTTGTGTGTCGTGCTGTCATCTGTCATTTTCCCGCGGCAGACCCTGCGTTGGTGGATTAAACGACGGATTGGCGGAACATGGGAGGATCTCCGCCTCTGTGATAACGCGATAGACGAGTACTACCGACAGAAGTTTCGCATGTCGATGGCCATGTTCAGGCAAAACGTAGCCGCGTGCGCCGCGTATGTGGAGAAGAAGGTGACGCACTATAGAATGTCATTGCCAGTGGAGCAGGTGATCGCTTTCACGTTGTACAGGTGGGCATCAGGAGAGACGTACAAGAGCGGCGCGTCAGCCTTCGGCATCGGCAGGGCAACTGGACTGCAGTCTGTCCCCCGACACGATCAAGTGGTCAGTTGGGCGTAGACGTGCGCAGATTCTGCGCGCATTCGGTGACAAGGGTTTCCCGCACTGCTTCGGTGCGATCGACTGTACACACATCTACATTGACAAGCCCGTCGGCGCACCTTCGGACAACTACTACGACCGCAAACAAAAGTTCTCCGTGCAGGCACAGGTGGTGGTGGATTTGGATCTGCGGATCCTCGACGTCCACATCGGATACCCGGGAAGTGTGCACGATGTCCTTGTCCTGTACAATTCCCAGTTGTGGAGGCGTGCAGAAGCCGGCGAGCTGTTCGACGCACCTCCGGAGAATCTGCCGCACGGTGTCGTCACGCGAGGTTACCTGCTGGGCGACAACGATTATCCAAATGCCTGTCCATGGATCGTGCAGCCGTACGGAGGAATCGACCAAGATCCTGATGAGGAGCGCTTCGACACGCGGCAGAAGGTGGCGCGTGGGTGTGTGGAGAGGGCATTTGGGCGACTGAAGTGCATGTGGCGTCTGTTCTTGCGCACCCACAAGACGAACCTAGAGACCTTGCCACAACAATTCGTGGCCATCTGCACTCTCCACAACATCCTCCTCGACGCGGGCATTGACTTCGATGAGAACCTTTTGTGGGAGGTGGATGAGAACGGCATTCGGCGTAGAGTAGACTTGGCCATTGTGGGGAACGGCGCGGGCGGGCAGCGACGGAGCACGAACGTGGACAGGGAGTTGTTGCGGGATGCACTTCGAGACCGCCTAGCTCTGATGTAGGACCGTGCGAACGGGAGGTGGAGGGGAAGAGGGGGGGGGAGGGAGGAAAACACAACATTATTCCTTATATGGCATGATTGAAGGGTATTCTGTCAAAAAAAAAAATAATAATAATAAATAATAAAAAAGAGAGGCGTG